AAAAATAACCTAATTAGTAGCCTTTGTATTCTCTGTTGTAGACTATGTTCTACATGTGTACCAAATTTCATCAAAATCCCTTGAGCCCGGGGATATCTTCAACAAACATTCATCCATCCATCTAAACATCCATCTGTAAGATTACCGAGATAGTAATATTATGACTGATATATAAACACGGCTAAACACTCACGTCCGATGGTGGCACCGCCTAGTTTCGAGGCCCGTCACTCAGTGAGCGCCGCGTCCGCGAAATAATACTAGTCACACTCATCCTGATGAAGGGCCCCCGATGGGCTCGAAATTAGTCGGTGCCGCCACCGAACGAATATACGTGAGTGTTTAGCCGTGTTTATATATCAGTTTAGTATAATGTCTCACGAAAGTTTGAATAATTTAATAATATGACATTTTGTATGGAACTACTTAATATAACATAAACCCAAAGTAAGCAATATAAATATCATTTTCTTTGTATAACACAAAATAAAAGTATTATATACGTCTCTCGCTTCGCACACGTCTGCCTCATATTGAATATGTTTTTGCAGTCCTCTTATTTCCCTTGCGAGCACCTAGACACGGGATAAGGCGACATGCTATGAAAACTTCAATATACGTACATCCTAACGGAACCCTAGACTATCGGCTAAAAGGTAGATTTTGTTACAAAAATAGTATTCATAAATGTATATTATATACTTCGTGTTAGTTATTTGGTGTTAGAAATACATAAATTGATAAAATTAGACACTATTTTTGTTTATTCGCGTTTTCATTCAATCGTCTTATTTACGTACGACTAATGTTAAAACAATAGAAAACCTTAATATAACTAAATCTAAATTGTTTTTTATCAAAGTTTTAGTTTTCAACATTAAAAGCCTTTCAAGAGTCCGTGTTATAAGTACATAAAGAAATACTCCAAACACATAAAGGATATTTTATGGCGTAAATCTTTTGAAGTTATTTATTTCTTCGATATTTTGCTATTCCATTTTACTTTAGAAAGTCCAATTCTTGTACTCAAGGCACTTGAATATTTTAGTCCGTTGTAATTTTAAGCTCTACTGAACATGTTTCGTTATTTTAGTCAAATTTGAAATTTTAGTTATTGTCAATTTGATCATAATCCAGAATAGATGTTCTCTAATTTTAAACAACTGAAATAATAAAATGTTTGCGTGTAATGTGTAATAACACATACATATTTTGTTTAAGATTACCGTATGATTCGATTTGGCTTTGTGCTCCACTAGCTGTCGCACGTGACTTCGTCTGCGCGGAATTAAAAAAAATAGTAGCCTGTGTTCTTAGAGGCTACGATCTAAATCTAAGCTAAATTTTAAATAAAAGTGAGGTCAAATCAGTAGTTCTGAAGATACCTTCTAATAAACATCCTTCCATCCATCCAAACATTGGTATTTACAATATTAGTAAGATAAGTCAGGAGTAAAGTTATGTATTAAACGCAATTTTATTCTATAAGAGTATTTCGTGTAAATATTAATTAAGTCAGCGGGATCTCGGTATTATGAAGTACTTAACCGTTAAAGGAGTCGGCAACTTCTGGCTTGCTTTTTACTTTGCTTAAATAAAGTCTCAAAAGCGAACTAAGAGCTTGTAATTTACTGCGTTGCGTTTCAAAAGAAATTTTTCATTTAAATATTTTATTTTGTAACTTGCTCAAATTATTGCGATTTTAGAAATGCATCTCGGATTATATGAATGGAGTTTCAAGAATTAATTAATCCTTAACTTTTATACTTCGACTTAGAATTTAACGAGAACTTGAAAACTAATTAATTATTAATTTTAAAATAAGGTTTCTTTAATTTTTGTCTGTTACTGTTTTTTGTCATTTTCATATGAAGGAAATTTAATTATTTGATTTTAATATTCGATTTATTAAACGTAAATAATTATTTAAATATAAGTTCATTTTGCATCAACATGGCTGGAGTTGATGGAAAGCTTTGCTCCAGATAGGATTATTATTGACCCATTATTGAGGAAATTGTGAGCTAAAAAAATTGGAATTAAATTTTCAAGTATCGCCTATATAAGTAATATTGGATGCGGAAAGCGAGGTCCGCTACTATGGAAGGCATTGAGAAAGGTCTATGCCCAGCAGTGAGTAAATAAAAGCTGTGCATGATAATGATGATTAGTAATATGATGTATATAAAAATATTTTGTAAAGGATGGTATAAAACTGTTTAATTAATTTATGGTCTACTAGCTGTCGCCCGTGACCCTGCCCGGAATTAAAAACCACACGTAATAAGTAGCCTATAGGTTCAGACTATGTTCTACATCTATGCCAAATTTCAGGGAGATTCATGCAGCCGTTCCGGCGATACCTTCAAACAAACATCCATCCATTTAAACATAATATTAGTAAGATTGAGTCAACTTTAGTTTTGTTAATTTAATCGAATCTAATGTGAAATTAGTAATTATAAATATTCTAGCTTATATAAGTGCGTTTTATATTCACATTTTTTAAAGTTAAATTTATTGGAAATTTTATATTTTAAGGCTTACGATCTAAAGAAGTGTGGGAGCTGTGAGGAAAGTTTTCAATAGTGCATTGTGCGAGTGTACTAACTAGTTCCATTATAAGATGTAGTCTATGGAATACTTCTGAGCTGCGGCTGAAACTTTTTAGATAAGTTTAAATATCTATCCTTTTCAAATAAATATTTTTGCAGAACGTTAATATAGACAGCATTTTTTGGAATGTGATAGTTGAATTAAAAAAAACTTGATAAGTAGCCTATGCGTTCTTCCAGACTATATTCTACATCTATTCCAAATTTCATCAAGATTCGTTGAGCAGTTTTGGAGATACCTTCTGACAAATAAACCTCCATCCATCCAAACATTCGCATTTATAATATTAGTAAGATTTGCATGAAAATATACAGTACTTTGTTATTTGTTTTATTTTAGAAACACGACTTACATTAGTTGTCAGACTAAAATACTTGTCAGCTTTTCAGATTTTTTTCGTAAAACAGTTGCACGCTTTCGTTTAGCTTAGTAAAAAGGCTTTCGAAATCAACTCAGCTTCCTGCGAAAAATCCAATTCAGTGCAGCAACATCCTTCAATCAAGAGTTCTATCAGCGGCGTAGCAATTTATTTTTCAATTCACGTTAACTTTTGTTAATTTTAGACATTTTTTAAATTTTCAACATCTCGAAACTGTTTTCGTAAAATTAAAAACACGGTTGGTTATCACCAATGACTTTATTCTAATAATATAAACAAGTAAATATAGTACAAACCGCACACCAAAAAAGTTCATTATTACTTTTATTTTATAGGAGAAGGGGGCAAACGAGCAATCGCCTAATATTATTTGATCCGACGCCCATGGACATCCGCAACGCCAGAGGAACCGCAGATGCTTTGCCGGCCTTTAAGGAAGGTGTACTCTTTTCTTGAAGGCCCCTAAGTCGTAACTGTTTGGAAATACCGCTGTAATACTTATTCATACTTTATGCTGAAGATGATATTCCTTGTTTAACACGTTCAGTGCCGTACGAAAGTGAACTCGCCGTGAGTCGGTGGCTATGTGTTAATCATTTTCCGAAAATTGGAAACATAGAAGCGTATTTGTGTGAGTAATATTCAGCGGGAGGAATATGAGAGTTTTGATAGACAGGTTATTGGCTTATTCAGCGGCTGAGAGCTGCGAGGAATGACGTCATAAATGAATTCCATTCGCGTACTGCTGCGTCTCCGACAGTTAATAAAGTCTTGTATTACATAACGTATTATGACAGCATGTAGCGATTAGAAAACATTTCTTTATGTATTTTTATACAGGGGAGTTAGACAAAGTACATTCGTTCGTCATAAGTTCGTAATGGAATCGCTTCGGAGCGAATGCACTTTGTCTAACCCCGCAGATTGGAAACTGCTGATGTTTTAACCTAAAAACAACAAAAATTTGTTTTAGCGATCTACCTATTGCCTATGACTGTACACGGGAACTGACGCAGTGATAGAGGCTATTTCCCCTGCCTATGGGTCCCGTCCTCCGCCAAATCCATTTCCCTATTACATATATTTAGGAGATTTTAATGTCTTTAATAAAACTTAGAACTTTTTACAGTTATGTTGCTTAAACACGTCAATTACACGGAGTCTGTAAAAGTAGAATAGTAAAGTTAAATTTTAATTTACTTCATAAGTCTTAACGTATTAGATTACATTTTTATTGTAATAGAAATCTCGCTCGAAATAGATATTCAATATTATAAGTTGTGGCCTATTTAAATAACAAAGGTGTACATATCACCAAGTAAGGCGATTCAGAATAAAAATCCAAGGTTTTTAAAGACCAGACCGTTAAAAACTACCATTGTTTCGTATACCTTCCTGTCGCGGCTTACGTCGGGAAGTGAATAGGAAATGAAACAGGTCAAGTTAGATTGGTCACCCGAGAGTTGAGCTGTCACAAGGGCCACCTGAGAATTCAATTTTGCGACGGTGAATAAATTTATCCGGGTCTGTACCAACCCTTATTTCGCTTTACTGAAAGCTTTGTGTAATGCGTTTCTACAAAAATGTTTTAGTAAAAATATATTTTTGTCAAATTCAACCGCAAAAAGAAGATACAGAATGTGACATTATATCTATACAAACATAGCTCTTAAGACACATAATGTTCACATATGTACGTATACGGCATACGGAGAACAATCTCGTCTGCCAAATACAGGTCAATCATTTTATCTATTCGAGGAAAAGTTTGATAATAATAATTATTCAATACGTCGAATTAATTTGACGGATATCTTGAGGTTTGGAACTTAGAAAAGACTAAATTTTCTTCTTATTGAGGTGCCTCTCCGGATTAACGAAGGTTGGCGATCAGTTCTCCATATTTTCTATTGTCTCTTGCGAGGCGAAATAGTTGGGCGGCACTCGCAACCCCTGTCCACTCTCGGATGTTGCGCAACCAGGATTCTTTCCTGCGATCAAAACTCCGGGAACTTTACCCAGCAAGATGAGTTGGATCAAATTGTATCTGTCGTGCCTGAGCACGTGGCCGAGGTAAGTAAATTTTACTACTTTCTTTTATACATCTTGTCAATTAAAGGACTAAATTCACTGCAATACTCAATGGCGCACCAGGGCGGTGCAGACAGTTTATGGCCTGAAAAAAAAGTGTTGGAAAATCGATGCTAACGTACTATACAGTAAGCCATTGCACCATATTGTGCGCTACTTTCGCCTGTATAACAACTAAATGTTTGATCAAATTTGTGTTTTCATCGTGGAAAAAACGTGTTGTTATTTATGCATATCTATTTTTTTAAATTTAGAAAAAAATAATTAAAAATATCATTGATATAAAAATTTAAGTTTAAAATGTTGCGTAGAATGTAATCAAGGTAGTCTCAAAAGATAATTTGTATTATAAATGGATTCATATCCTTTTGAAAATACCTGAGTAATTTCAAAATGCATATACTTAATTAAGAATTAAGAAATGTCAGAGTTGTTTGAATTTGTTGCTTGAAAAATTCGTGAATTTTAATTAATACTTCTCATATATTATTTGTGCAGCGCTTAATGAGGAAACAAGAAGAATGTTTATCTGCTGAGAGGGATATAGAATGGTAATTAGTTTAAAAATCTTTAATAGCATCTCGTAGGCTTAATATTTAAGATATTAAGTATATAACCCAGTATTTTTGTGCAAAATAACTAAAAATTAATTACGTATGTTTTATTTAGTATCTCTTAAGTCAGTTATTTTGTCAATTACACCCCATAAATAGTATTTTTCATTTTCATTTGCTGTTTTTTCCAACTAAGATCAGCTATCAAGCGGCAAGCCGTCTGGCTGATCGATTTAAATTTTTTATCCTGCACTATTTCGACAAATAATCCGATCGAGCGGGCAATTCGCTTAAATCCAGAGCTGTATTGCCGAAGCGTCAATTTATTTTTCAATTTTACGTCCACTAAGAATAATTTTCAAGCTCATAAATTATATTACTAGTGGTAAATTAAAAATGTCATTAACATTTACATTTAAATTGTTAATTAAATATTGGTCGTACATTTACATTTATCCATTAAATTTATCCGACATTCCTATTGTGCAGGATTATATCGTGCTACAAGTGAGCTAGTCAACTAACCCTCGTTAGACCAGGTTGACAATGGTCTAGTTAACCCTGACTTAAGGTAGGCTCTGAGCTCCTTAGTGGGACTAGACTTAATATAATTACTAAATAAAATAAGGTGACTAGATTACAGTTAATATGACTAAAATGACAAGTAAAATGACTAGGGTTATGGTGAGGCTATGTTCCTATGAATTACCTTACTATCTATATATACAGTATTTAATAAAGACATCTTTAGTATTCCTATTTCTTATTAATTTACATGTATTTTCCATATTTATTTTCTCCTTCATTTCTTTTTCTTTCAGTATTTACCCTATACGCAGCATACAGTGGGCAGTCGATAATTACGTGCAGCATGGACTCACCCTGTTCCGGATCTCAGATTTACAAGGGGCACGTCTTACATTACAATCTGTGTAAGTATTCTGATGCCTAGTACAGGTTGACTTCACATTTGCATAACGAAGTTTTCTTTCACCGTAAGAACGTCGGATAAATGTACACGTGTACTTCAAATAACATATTGGTAAATGGCGGGATTGGAATCCAGGACCAGCAAGATTACAAGTCACGTACTTAACCCCTGAGCCACCGACGCTGTACTACTAATAGTATATTTCTCATTGGTATATTTGTTGTAAATTCTTTGTAATATAAAAGTATATATATTTGTGCAATGGAAGTGCGCCAGATAAGTATTCACGTTTAATCTGGACAGCTTGGCTCGCAGCGAGTCCAGTAACGCGGCGCGGCAAACATACATGTGTTTTAATAACGTCACCCGCCAATATTCTAGCCAATTTGAAATTTATTCTGTTTCCTGCGACTTCTAATAAAAAATATTTATAATGAGCAATTTTGTAAAAAGTTAAAAAAATGAATATCACGGGAACCGTATCTCATTACTCGTAGACATAAATTAAGACGTAGACAAAGATACCTTCGTCTACGTCAATGTCTACGACTACACAATCGTAGACATATTGCAATTATAATTATTTTTAAAATTGTCTTAAAAAAATTCTCAATCGTACACTATAATTTTATCACTAAAATGTAATGTAAATAAATTAAGAGTAAACATTATATAAAATAAATACATATACAACAGAAGAAACACTGAGAAAAACATTTAAAGCTAGACAAGTCAACAAAAGCTCGCTGCAGTGCGGCGTCCGGGGAGATCCGAGTTTACTTTTAATTTACACCAGACTTGCGGACGATGTTTGTCTTACTATCGCTAAAGTGCAAGGTACACGAGTACTAAACGACCTACATTGAATTCACAGGTTGAATTCTTCTTAATAAGTTTACACATTTTATCAATTTTTTATAATAAACAAGTGAAATTATAGTGGTTTTAGACTGCTGTAAATTCCTCTTGTAGTGTTCCATATTGTCATCTCTTTTACTCTTTTTGAAATAACAGAGACAACAGTACTGTACAAGTATTACAAAGTTTTTACAATTGAAGAAATAAGTTAGGAAAGTAGCAAATCAATGGCGCGATTGAAAAATGTTCCGAATCGGAAGTGAGGGCGCTGCGCGTGCTCGATGAGCTCTATTCTCGATCTGATTATTTGTAGAAATCGTGCAATAAAATCGCAGAACATGTACTAACTACATTTGGGAAAATAAAATAAACGTCTTTCAAATACGAACTTACTAATACTGACGTGGTAAATGCTAATTTTGCTTTATCCCACCGAATAAAGAGAAACCGAGATTTCTTCTCCCTTTATTTACAGAAGAAATCATTTCTCTCTTTACGTAAAGGTTTTAATGAACTGTTTACATCAAACTCAATTATATATGATATCAAAGTCTATTTCATATGAGAAAACTATGACGAGACAATTAATAATCAAACCACAATTTTATACACTACTATTTATTTACCAAAGCCTTCGAAGAGCTTATAATAAATAAAGAGTGGGCAATGTTTGTAGAATCGTATATACGCAGAGAGATTTTCTCTCACGATCGGATTATTTGCTGAAATAGTGCGCAGTAAAATTCGAAAAACGATCGGCCGCTGGCTGCTGTGAAAATAAACCTAGAAATGCTTTCGAAGCTACAGCTACGAGTACAAGCACTGGCTACGCCGCGGCCGCTTTGATTACTTTAAACTACTTTTATTACAACGAAACATGTTACTTTGATATTATTGGTAAAATATTTAAGTATTGCAATATTAAGTAATTTTTCCTTTATTATATAATAACTGTCACCCCCGAATTAAGAAAAAAAAATTCATAAGTAACCTGTGTGTTCTTCCAGATTCTCTACATCTATGCCAAATTTCAGCGAGATCCATGAACCGTTTTGGAGATACCTTCGAACAAACATTCATCCATCTAAACATTGGCATTTATAATATTGGTAAGATAATTTTTTATTATTTGTTCTGTAAACTGAATGATTCTCTTTAATAAACCATTGAATTGATAAAAGTTAAAAATGTTTCAAGTAGTTAATCCAAGAACTTCCTACTGCACCAATAACATTTTAGGATTTCTCCTAAAACTAAATCAAGATTTCAATTGTTCTTTCTATATTCCATAGTTTTACGCGATTTTAGAATTATAAATATATTGCTTTTATATGACTCTGCTGTCTGCTTCGTAGAGCTGGTATATTCTTTTTTAATTTTTTTTTAAATAAAATTTTAGTGTCTATATATGTGATATCGAGAAAAAATCATATTTCCTACACGTAATTCATTTGAGTTGATGATAAGGGAAAATAGATTTTCCAAATTTTGGTTTGCTTCTGCAAACCGCGTTTGTTCCGGGTAATCTTTGAAATCTATTAGATTTTGATGAAACTTTGACAACTACTTTCTTTTTATTTCAGCGCTGGCGAGGTCGAAAGCGACTGTTAGTAATGAATAAACAAGTGCTTGACAACAATTCTGATTATAAGTGTTTCTGTGGTCGAAAAATGGTACGTACTAATTTAAGAGAAAGTTCACTTAACTCTTGAAGACAGTTTTTCACTTGATTACTGTTTATTCAAACTTTCGTGACACATTATAATAAACACGGCTAAACACTCACGTATATTGGTCCGGTGTCGGCACCGACTAGTTCCGAGCCCATCGGAGGCCCTTCATCAGGGTGAGTGGAACTGGTATTAGGGAATCAAGGTCAAATAAGTGAATCGATTAACCTACATTTAGTTGGTAACGAGGCATTAATGTGAAATATTATTTTTACCAGAAAGTAAGTGCGAATGCTACTCATACTTTATGACATTCATTTGAATAAAAAGCTCATTTGGAATGCCAGTCGCAGACGCTTAAAAATAATCACTACGAAAGAGCCATTTTTGTACTTTTTAACAATTGAACTTAGCATATTTTTCCATTCCTTATCTATATAACTTTTATATCAATACTAGCTCTCCCCCGTGATTCTGTCCACGCTGTAATAAAAAAATAACTTAATTTGTGGCCTGTGTGTTCTTCCAGGCTATGTTCTACATCTATGCGAAATATCACCGAGATCTATACAACCGTTCTCGAGATACCTTAATACAAACAAACATACATACATCCAAATATTTGCATATTAGAATTTTATTTTTATTTTTACATGTAACGAATAAACTTGCAAATTACTAAACCAATTTTAAAAATACATTTGTCATTAAAAAGGTGCATTATCACTGAGCAATATAGGCTATTTTTTTTAAATTCCACGCGGTCGAATTCGCGAGCAAAAGCTATATTAAATAAAGAGACAATGTAATGTCTCTTTAACAAACCGTGTCATGAAAACCTTATTGTAATATGAAATTTTAAAGCGCTTATAACAACTTAATTACACACGTCACTCAATCAAATGTGATTGAATATCGACCTGAACACTTTACGATTGCGCGGGAAGTGGGTCAGTATGATTTACATGAGCTCTGCTTATTTAACGTTTACTTTAGCTCTATGAATTATGTAATACTAGAGTAATGTATGTTAAGACGACAATGGAATATTTCTACTACTAGTAGGGCTATTGACAGAAGGGTATTGTGTTTCCCATTATCAGAATATTGTATTCTTATTCGTACAATACTCGTAAACATACACACAATACAACACCGAATACAAGAGAAACTTGGACTAAACTAAGTTGGTCCCGGCATATGTAGTTTAAATAAAACATAAATTTTTGTACCAAAGTTATTTTTTTAATGTTAGAGTATATTCCTAAAAGACAAGCACTTTTAAAAATTTTGAAATTTCTGTCGAAAGTTAAATTTATAAGCGTATACGACAAAAGTGGCGGCTTCAGTCATCCGTAGCATGTCGTAGCTTTCGTAGCGTTACGTAGCTCGTCGTAGAAGCGACGTAGACGCTCGCTCTACGAGCTTAATTCCACCACATCGGAATAATTTCAATCGTGTCGCGGTTCCCTTACGTACCCAGCGGAAGCCAAAGAAAATATATTTGAACATTTCCTTTTAAGTATATTCGTCTATAATGTATTGAATATTCTATTGATTCTTTATGAATATGTTTTTTTCTTTGAATACTTTATGTTTTAGAATATTTATTTTTAGGCTTTAGTAAGCAAATAAGCAATCATGAAATCCAGGATTTAATAGCGATTAAGTATATCTAATCGGCACTATCCTATTTAACATATTTCATTTCGTAAACTTTTTAGCAAGTGTGGTATAAAATTTTTGTTATAAAACAAACCTTAACGCAAAATAACAACTTAAACATAATACTAACAAAATGCCTAAAACGTTTGTGTGTGTTTGTACTTAATTTGGTGCGGGATAAGTAATTGCCGAAAGTAAACACGGCGTCAAAACGTTGAATAATTTGACGTAGTACCTTGTGAATAATAAACGGAGACTGCATAAGTCTTGTAAATAAAATACAACTTAGAAGACTGCTTATTAAGTGAATTCATTAAAGTATACGTCTTGCCATCTAGTAAATTATCTAATTGTTTTAATTTTGCTATATATAGCAGTAATTTAAATGTATATTGAATAATAAAATAAGGGTTAAACGATAAAAAAATATTCTATATAATGTTGAATGTTTAAATGTTAATTTTATTTTTTTCTTGTTTTTTCATTTATTTTATAGTACCAATGAAGTTTTCTTATCAAAATCATAAAAGTTTATTTATACATATGCCTCAGGATCAAAAGAAAATGATAAAAATTGAGATCAATTTTCCGGCCCATCAGGAAGTTTTCCCTTCTTACCTTTTAGCTAATGGACTTTTGAAAGACACTTTCCTGAGAGTATTTTTCCTAATACGTTGATATTGTCTTTGGCTCTTAAAGTTTTTCTTAAGTTTTTATTACTCTCACGCTGTTACGTTGTTTTACTATATGAGTTTGAGATTCCGCGAATATTTTATACTTTTTTTTACAAATATGTTTTATCTTACTAATATTATAAATGTGAACATTTAGATGGATAGAAGGGTATTTGTTATTAACAGCTAAACGGTTCTCACAGAAATTTAGAATAGATGTAGAAGAATAGATGACATCATTTAGAAGAACACGTAACCTACCAATGAAGTTTTTTTTTTCATTTTTACGGACGGACTAGCTGGCGACCGCTAAATAGATAATATTTCCGATAGGAAGCAATAGATTATCTGTGTTATCACATAACATTGACTATATTCATATGTGTTGCACATTTTAAATACGTACGTATGTACATTCATCATATTCACATTTATAACCCAAGAGGGTTATCCGTAATGGGTTATACAAAATGGATGTCGAATATCATTTATGAAGCTGTTAAATATAGTGTCGATAATCGATTCTCAGCAGACAGTCGGTGCGAGCTTCGCTGAGGCGGGCGTTATAAATAATGATAGATGGCAACTCGATTTTCTTAGCTGCTCCACTCGATCCCACTCGGCACACATCGTTCGCTGCAAATGGTGCACGCTTAAATAGCGACGCGGCATTTTTTAAAGTAATCGCTTCTACAATGGCTGCTTTGATTGCTGGCATTTTTTAAAAAGGAAACAAATATACGTGCGCTTTATATACAATCCTCGATCTTCTTGAATACAAAATATTCGATTTACTTTTAAAGAACAATGGAAGACAATTGAATAGTACTTGAAACACTTCACCTTACTTTGTTACCTGAACGATTTTAGAAATTAGTAATTTTATGTCTAAAATTTACATGGTTTTTTATAAAAAGAAAACGATTAGGTATTGTTCACTACCAATTTAATAGAGTATATTGTGTCCTAAGATTTTACATAATATGGTAAAACCAAATGCATTTAACTTTACTCCTTTATGCATATCAGGTGACTTATAAATAACAAGCAGTTGCCCGCGACTTCGTCTGCGGGGAATTACAAAATCTATCATAGTAAACAGTTTAGTATATGGCACTAGCGGATAGCGTAGCTTTCCAACAATGAAAGAATTTATCCAAATCGGTAAGTTTCGGAACCTATTTAAGCAAACAAACAATAAAATCTAGGAAACGGCATTCAACAAATCTTATGATAGTCATGTTATTTACCCTCTTCGTTACAGATATTTCAGAATTGTCTCATTTTCTACACCCCATTGCTGTGCAAAAATTGATAAAAGTTTCCAAACGAAAAAATACACGATTCGAGTGAAAAAATGGAACTCATAAATCGAAAAGAAATATTTCACGGTCCGGCATTCAGAGCGTTGCGTTCAGCGTAGACCGAATAGTAGAAAGGAAAGGTATAAAAGCTTCACCCTTTCTAAAAACACGTAAATAGAAGAGTCGGGCGTTCGTTTCGTACTCCACGTTTGGAATAGCGGGCCGGCGCACACACGCGAGTCTCACATACGGCGAATAAACGATGTGAAATGGGAAAAAAGTTAAATATGTATGAGTGCGGGTAAATATATAAATCGGTATATAAAGCGTTTATATAAAATAGGTGAGAGCGCGCGCTCAGCTCCGAGGCTCAGTCTCTCGCGGTCCTTCCAGCATCACTCCCGCATGCGACGGACGCCGCGCCGCGGAGCGGACTTTGACACGAGTTATCATGTTTTCCAAACAGTGGTGCCGCCATAAACTTTTCTTAAAACTTTATTGATGGAACTGTGTTACTGTGAACGTTATATTTTACTTTTGGACTTTTATATTTAAAGAAACTTGGTAAGGAAATCAAATTACAATTTAGATAAACTTTTACGTGTAAAACTTTTTTGATATTACACAAGTAGGTTCTGGTAACTTTAAAATTAAAAAAAAATGCTATCATGTAAAATAAATTTTTATACACACTTAAGGCATGTGAAATAAAGCAAAACTAAGTTGGGTAAAACTTTATTTTCGGAAATCATGCTTTGAATTTTACAAATATTTAGTTTTTTTTTTCAAAATAACTTAACAATTCATTAGGACTCTGCCTCCCGTGGAAAAAAGAATAAATATCTAGAAGTGATAATTTTTCGCTTTGGTATATTATAGTTAAAAAATATTGATTGGTAAAATATTCGTATTACATTTATTTAAAAAATAAAGCATGATATAGCGACTAAATGTTTTTTGAATTTGAATTTGTAATGTAAAGAACTTAACTAAACAAACTAAACAACTACTGTTATTTTTAATATTATTACCAATTACAAAATTATAAAAACCCCGTTGAGTTGCTAGGTTCTTTTTTCAACTAATATTGTGAACAATGGCTATCAGTAAGATATACAGAAAATTTTTATCAATCCTTAGTATCAGTAATACAACACTCTCAATAAGTGCCGAACTATTTGTTACTCCAACAATTTACGTCTGACAGTTAAATTAGAACGAAGTGTGGAAATAAATGAGACTTCTGTAAATATTTGGCTAATATTTAATATAGTAATAGACATTACAATGTGTTTGATGAAGAATGAAAAAATATATATCTACAGTTGAAAATAGTTATGAAAAATAAAAATGAGCTATTAATTTTTGATACTTAATATTATTTAAAAGGTTTTATGTTACAGTTAAATAAAACTCTGACTTTTCATTACGATAGCTTTCTCCGTAGATTCAAAAGATTCATTAAAAAATCTTTGCAAATAAAATGTTTTAATTACATTTCATACGTTTTATTGCATTTTCTTTATAATGGCTTAAACTTTTTACTCATTTGCCAGTTTTTATTCAACTTGGACATTCGTTAATTCATTTTTTAAATTAATACAGACAAAATAAGGCTTTCTCGATAGCTCTCATGCCTGGTTGAGGATGGAATGAAATAATAACATAAAAAAAACTTACACAATCAAAGAGTCTATTGTCCAAAAAGGCCGCAGCGGTCTTAAAAATACAATATCATGAAAAGGTTTTTACAATCCTGCCTTCGGAGTTTTGATATCCTATAATATATTCAATAACGCAAAGGGAATAGCTGGTCAATTGCTACTGATGAAGCCTATTCAATAAGTAACGACAAACTTTGAACTGAAATATCGAAATACAAATTGAATTATGTTTGTGTGAAACTGAAATTTTTTCTTATGAATTTAATTTTCTTGTCATTCGATGTACTATGTATTTCATAGATATATTATTATATAGAATCCCTTTCTCTTTGAGTCCTTTATTATCTCGTATGTTTACAGTTTTGTGGTACATTTTATTAAGAAACTATTACTTATTTAGATTTAGGCTTTGGCACAGTAATCTTAAATTATTTCTAAATGTGTTATGTATCGTATTAATATTATACTATTTAAAGTTATAATATAAAACCAATATGTATGTATATTTAAAGATCTTATACATATATAAAATTCTCGTGTCACAATTTCCGTTCCCATACTCCTCCGTAACGGCTTGACCGATTCTCATGAAATTTTGTGAGCATATTGAGTAGGTCTGAGAATCGGCCAACATCTATTTTTAATACCGCGCGGACGGGGTCTCGGGAGACAGCTAGTATATTTATAAAGTTATATTATACAAACAACCTGTCACCCGCCACCCAAATTAAAAAAAAAAACTTAATGAGTAGTCTATTTGTTCTTCCAGACTATGTTCTACATCTGTGCAAAATGTCATCAAAATCCGTTTAGCCGTTCCGGATATACCTGCAAAGAAGCATCCATCCATCTAAACATTTAGCATTTGTAATATTAGTAGGATAATGACAAGGTAGAAAGCTTCGCGAGTCCACCTAAAGCACCACTATTTTTTATACCACATAAGAATGGACTCTATATTTTTAATTAAATTTACATTTCGATATTGTTACAGGTTCATTGGAAATGTGGCCTATCATATTCGCCCTTACACTCGGTAAGTACAAATTAATTTTGTATATAAGTTTTTAATACGAGTCCTAGATCTCACGGACTATATTTGAGTTTCTCCTACATAAAATAGGGATATGCAATTAAAAAGTATTTTTAATGTTCTTTTTATTTTTTATTTTTATGTGTAATTTTATGGTTTTTTTGTTTAGTAAAACCTTTTTCTTTTCTTTTCTTCTCCTTTTTAAACTAATAATATTAAACGTTGTATTGTACTTTCAACAACTTATATTTTTTCCGATCCTTTTCTAATTTCAAGGACTTGATTTTTAACGAACAAACTTTTATTTGTTCTTCAGTTGTGTACTTAGGACATATAACAATGTTAGCGGATTTCCCGTTAAATATTATTGTTTTACGTACATATAAATTTATTATTATTAACTTTAACACAATATAGTCAGTGTGGAATGAAGCAGTAAATGTGAGTTTATTGGATTTTACCAAAACCTTGTTTTGTTTATTTTTAAATTTATGTATTTAACCTCGCCTTTTTATATGAAGATTAATAATGATAACGGTATGATGTCTTCATTGCAGACAATTTTCGACAAACCTTAATTATGTCCCTAAAAGTTACTTGTTAACTTTGTGTCTTAGCAAAATATTATTCGAAATGCATACAATATTTTTCAATTACTCTCGTACAAATAGACAGTAAGTGTACTGATAATGATCTCTATAAATGGATAGGTAATTGCTTGGAATGACAGCTTTATCTTCGTTCCTACTTAAACATGCCTGTAGAAGTTCCTGACAGTTGTTCACTACTGCTATCAATCGGAATCAATCAGCGTCAAATTGGTGAAAATCAAATAGGCACAAAATACCACGGTTTATAGCATCTCCATGTATAGAGGACAGTGACTGGAATACATAATATGTAGATTCTTATTACCTATCGTATTGTAACATCAGATAAGCGATGACGGAACTTGTGTCTCCGTGTTTGCGGCAACATGTACGACATAATCATATATCTTCCGCAAACGACGGCATCTCGGCTTTCTTCCGTCATATGTCTGTTCAAAATCGACTAAGAGACTTTATGTCTTAGACAATGTCCATTGTAACATAATATTAGGGTTTAGGTGTAAATTAAGTTCCAAGAAATATAATTAAAGTTCACGAACTTTATTCAAAACCGTTGATTCATTTCTGATGAATTGATTTCGTAGAATGTACTTGAAACATGAAATTTTATGTGTAGGGTATTGGCACGTGATACCTGATAAAGTCATATCATAACCATCACCACCATCATGGTCACCATTATTTCATTATCATCATCATCATCATCATCTTGACCGCTGGACGTAGGCTGCTTCTTTCCGCATTAAAGCAGCAGAAACAAAAGAGTGATATGAAGTAAAACAATCAAAGATTTTAATTAATTATATTTAATTACAACCATATTTTTACTTGTCTTAATTTAAATATATTAGCAGATATTAAATTTCCTACTATCATTAGAATGAACTAATACTTTTGACTCAATATTATCGAAGAGGAAATAAAAAAGAAATCGGAGACGATCTTCCTATAGTCCGCCAAAGGCGATGTTGATCAAGTCACCCGTTGCAGGGCGCTGCAAGCTATTTGCTGTCTCCCCGGAACATTGGAGTATCGGGAACTGGAAATAACATTAGCGGAAAAATATCTTAGATATTTTTACCAGTAAGTGATTTTTATAAATATGTGTTTTTAATATACATATTAGGAAAATTTTCGTAAAAAAAGTACAGATAGCATAAAAAAGTGTCTATGGTCAACATAAGAATTCTCGTCTTTCGTTAGTTTACCCACACATAGTTTACTTTTTGACTAATTCTTTCAAATGTCTATCAGTGTTTGATATTTATGGACATTTTATGAAAGAAAATATATTTCTACATTCACTTTAGAAATAAGTTTCGTGATTCAATTGAACCTTTGAATTGGTCTAGAAAACCTTAGAGTTCCTATCCGAGTTTTAAAGATGTCACTTCCAGAAATTCTCTATAATGTAGCTGTTATTTGAGCAAACATGGCGGCAAAGGTTGTCCGCTTTGTAGGATTCAATCAGCTCTTTGCACTGGGGACCTAAGACCAAATGGTATAAAGGGAATACAGCACAATTGCTAAGTTGCTTAATTATATATTTAACTTAGCCGCGGCTGTAATTAAAAACAAACATTGTACATAAATTTATTATTTATTAATGTTCGTTAATTGTTTATTAATCATAGATTTAGTTTAGAGTCTGGATATGGTAGTTTTTTTAATTTCTACACTTTATATTTAACTTATTCGTAAAATAACTATTACTGCTATCTATGTTAAAGATTTATTTTTGTTTGATTTAACTCATCGAGTGCTTTATCTTTAAAACAAGTTATCTCCGTACTTTTGGAGTACTCTTAAACGTCTAGGTTTGTAAGATACAGGATGATTCCGTTTTTGTCCGTCCTAGGAATTATACTTCTAATATCAGTAATCGGAACAATTTAGCTCATCAATGAGAGAGTAAATACAATAGGTACTATTTTAAAATTCTAATGGTATTCAAACTCTTAAGCTTTGTTATATTTATTAGTTAATATAAAATGAATAATCTTCCCTTGATTCACTCGCGATAAAATACATTTCGTAGTCTATCACAAATTAGGCGACGGGGAGCACACGCGTGCCTTTTTTCCGCAAAAATGTTCCCCTATTATTTGTTCATTTGTTTTTTCGCTTCGCATCTCGCCAGCTGGCTGCGACGCTCGAAATAACGACTAGACGAGAGCAGCCATTACATGTTTCGAAAGCCATTTAACTAATTTGCTATTTTTCCCCGTCTTTAGCACACGGCTGTTGCTAACTACATACGTCGATTATTTTCATAGCAGAATATGCTTATACCATGGTGGTAACCTAATAGTAGTGTTTGTGTTAATCATCAATGTCCAGAATATTTATAGAGGAGCTAATTGTCACGCGACTCCATCCGCGCAGCCAAAATTTACGTAAGATTTTAACACTATATTTCATATCCGTCATATATCTGTCTATATCCGTAATTTTATTCGTGTTTATTGTCTAGGTAATGCTAAAGTATTTTAGTTAAAAGCCTTTTTAAATCCTGATTATAAGTAATTGTATTATAAAAAAAATTATTTTAAACAAAATAATTCATAGGTATATACAACAAAGAAATACGGTTCAATACGTTTATTTATAATTTTCAACGATTCGAATCAGACCGACATTGATATAAAGACATAAAGATAAACTAGTCCTAGACCACGATCCCATCTGGTCTTAGGGATGTGTATGAATGGATATATCCATACCCATTATACGAATATTTATTCTAAATATGTGTCAAAGACTAAGTAATCCTAACTTCTTAAAAATTTGATAACGGTGCTACGTCGACTATTACGTTCGCTTAAACGCAAGATCCTTTTGCTCATTCAGATTCAAGAACTTTATGTTTACTTTAATAAAGAAACATCTGGGTTGCTATAACTTTTGAAATTTGAGCACAAATAATGTTTATTGAATTATTTATTTATTCGTCGACAGACATTGGATATACACGGTCGTCTTTCCTTTACTCTCAAAGACTTTACACATGATTCCCAAAATTATTAATATCTATTTAACAAAAAAACAATTTACGATTTGCAATGTTGTGTGGCAGCAACCTACTTAATTGAAGTCAGAAAAGTAAAACGCTTGATATAAACAAAGTGCTTAATGTTGCTTCCAGTGTCGATTCCTCGTTGTAGGCGTTTATTCATCTATTACGTTCAAGTTGATGGAACAGTGGAGCCCCGCTCTCTAATGGAAAGATAATAACTGTTTACTAAACACAACAATATTCAGCACAAATACAGCCTTTGTTACCGGTTACTCAAATACGGTAAATTCGCGCATTTCGATTGTTAATTTTATTGAAATACTCCCAATCAACGATTGAAATGTTCATTATATTGTATTATTACTATTGTTCGTGAACTTTATTATAGCTTTCCTAGTTTTCAATGAACAGAAAATTAATAGAAGAGAATAGAGCTTTTTATTATTTTAATCATTTTGTTTAAATTAAAACTATGATTTTTCTATCGAAAAATATTGTTTAGCTTAAGTTATTTACCCTAAAAACATTTTGTCTAATATAATTTGTTCGTAAAACATCTTAAATATGAAAAATCGTAAAAATATTGACAAAAAGTTTTAACGTTTAAACTCTATGAGGCATATCTGTTGATCTATTAAATTATCTTATCTTATATCTTTAAATAAGCAAATCAATCGGCTCCAACGACTTCATAAAATTTAGTGTATATGGGGTTTCGGGGGTGATAATTCAATCTAGCTAGGAATTATTTTTAGAAAATGATATTTTATTCGTGTTTTATCGATAATCAACTTAAACATAAACTTAACTTTTTCTATCGGTACGATTGAGAAATATTATTCATATTTCATCATTTTATTAGTAATTCGTGCTTAAATATAATTTCCAAAAAACACAATTTATAAAAAAAAAAACCATCAGGAACTTTTATTTAAATTAATTAAAATATTCGCATTTGTTATCCCTTTTTATTTCATAACTCTATACCAATATTTACCAATATTTTATCAAAATAAATGTTTTTTTTCCATTCGTAATGACTTCGTTGAATATCTTTACCGTCGTTTATTATGAAAATAAATGTGAGTACACAAGTCGACGTCAGAAATGATTACGTAACTCGTAGTATCTTCTTACATCGTTTGTGAAAATGAAATTTGAAATCTTTCATCATAAAATGAAAGTCATTACGATCAATCGAATGTACAAACTTAATGTCTTTATATATGTTTATCGAGACCAAGTTTAATAAAAGATTATTGGTAATCAATTAAGTATTGATAAATGTGGCTAGTAAAACCTTATACTTTTTTAATCTAGTTGCAAAACTGTTTTACTTGTAGGCTCACATTTTTCAGTTATTACAATAGAAATTT